AAAACTTCTAAGGGATTCCTGCTGCATACAGAACAAAAGTCCATGCTCATTAACCCATCATCCAAAGTCCTTCTTGAATGGCATCAATCTACCTTTCCAACATCATTTCCCATTATCCCCTTTTATTTCAATGTAGGGGAACCATTTCCTATTGCCAAAGAGAACTAATTGATATATCTTATACCTAGCCTACAATTGGACTTATTCAGTGTCTATGATTAATACATTCCTTATACATGAAATAATATTCCCCTTAATCAATTCATCTAATTATTCAGGGTACAAATTAAATCTTACCAACTTCATGATGCTGTCTCTGANGAACACAAATGTTTTGCCAGTGCTATTAAACAGATCATGAGGTTGTGAAAAGAAAATCTTAGAGAAGGAGAAAGGTCTATTTTTTCAAGGTGCCTTGTTAAGCAAATGCCTTGAAGCAAATGGAGGGAGAGGGGAAATACTTAGGTACTAGACCATGACATGCAGAAGGCATGATTCATTATGAAAGTAGAAATAAAATAAAGCCCACTGATAAAAATAAACATTTTAACAGGAAACTTCTGTTATTTAGAATAAAGAAATAAGTTTTGAAAACCTTTCAGACTTCAAACCAATATTCCAAATTTTGTGATGACAATGGAAATTTTTTTAAAAAACCCTCAAGGCTAAAAAAAAATAGAAGCCAAAAGGACAATACAGAGAATGGAAAAAGCAACGTTGACAAAATTAATGTCTGTGAAAAACCAGCTCACCATGCAAAGCGAGGAACTAGATGCATACAGATATATCTGGTATTCATTTTTAGTTTTAATTGACTATATTTAGTACTGTTTGTTTTGCTCAGATTTGTGCTTGAATTTACTTAGAAACAAAAGATTATAAGAAATATTTTCATGAAACTTAACTGATATTCTGGTTTATTTTTTTAAATAACATTCAATTTCAGGTCTTACTTAGATAATATAAGTCTGATTCTATGACAACAAACCCTACTATAACAGAAATCACTAATCAAAAGTGCCAAACTTCAGTCCATTAGCATTATCATTATCAGCAATAAACAAACAAAACTCTAGCACAACAAAAGAACTCGAGAATCCATTTGAATGTGCTTAAGTTACAGATCATGATCTAGAATTCAGTCAGGTGTTAGTGGCTAATATGTATAAAAAATTTCAGCAGGATTTTTTTTTTTTTTTTGTCTTTTTCGCAACCGGTAAGGGGAGCACAACCCTTGGTGTGGTGTTGCCCACACCGCGCTCAGCCAGTGAGCGCACCGGCCAGTCCCATACAGGATCCGAACCCGCCACGGGAGCGTCGCTGCGCTCCCAGCGCCGCACTCTCCTGAGTGCACCACGGGGCCGGCCCCAGGATTTTTTAGCTCAACTAGAGTTGAACTTTGAAAACAAATCTACTAATCAACAATTTAAAAATATTTGTTCAGTTTACACTACAAAATTTTACTCAAAATAATACCTATCTATACACAACATCAGCCCTGCCTACAACAAACTATGTCTGCAAGTGAACTTGTTTTTCCTCCCAAAT